TAATGAAATAACACATTGCTTTACCAGATGTGAATGAGGAATACAAATAGCCGTGCGTAATTACGCAGCGCAGAGCCTGCCACAGCAATAGATGGGTCACACATCCCTGTTGCGTAAAGTGTATTTATATAGAGCCTTTCTAAAAGAGCATATTCAAGTTTTACAACAAAAACGACGTCATATGCGTGTCCATTATGCGTAAAAGCACAGTGCCCTCAGCAAAACCACGTATTTGGAAAAACTATAGGCTAACAGATGTAGTAGCTCTAGTTTCAATCGTCCTCATTTTATTCAGTCAGACTTGTCAAATATAGATGCCCATGGGAGAGTGAGCAAGGGGAGATAACATGCCCATAACATGCCCAAAAATATCCTGCATAGACTCAAGCTGCGATCAGCTGAAATATGAGCACACAAAGAGCGAGAGGGAAAAAGAAAAGTAAATAGGCTTAGGCTAGTTAGTATTTTTTCTCTCACAAAAGTTGGCACGGATCATATGCCATCTTTCGTGGAGGAGGAAACATCAAACATCAAAGCGCGCACGCGGGGAACAGCGGGACTAGTCTCGTTGTTGAGGTCCCGATGTTCCCCCACTTCTATTGGCGGGGGAACATCGGACCCGGGGAACATCGGGACTTTTTAATACGCGAAGTACCGATGTTCCCCGGGTCCGATGTTCCCCCGCCTATAGAAGTGGGGGAACATCGGACCCGGGGAACATCGGACCCGGGGAACATCGGACCCGGGGAACATCGGTACGCACCCTTCCTATATGTCGCTTATTGGTTTCTTTGGTTGAATACTTTTGATTTGTCCAGTGATTTTCTGAATGTTGGAGCTGCATGTGCTAAAGTCAGAGATTTAAAACTAGCTTCTCTGTTTCGACAAAGTTAGAGAGTTAGAGGTCCTCACAAGGGCTAAAGTATACAACAGATAAAATGTTTGCTAATGAGGTGTAAAAGTTAGCGTGCTGAAAATTGACGTGCAGGTGTGTTTGTTTGTTTTTATCCAGATCTCCATAGCTACTGAATTACACAGTAGCTTTTCTTCAACGAAGAACGTCCAAACTTACAATTAGAATTAGAATTGTTCAAAAAAGTTGCACAATCTATTGTCCACAAGAAGTTTCTGCTTTCAACAGAACACCACAAATCAGCGAAAAAACTAAATAAGTAAGAAATATAATTTAGAATGCAGTCGCGCAGTCAAAAATGTACAGATGCTAACTCCATTCCCTGAGGTGCGCCCCCAAATGGATATGTAAGGCAGTGCACCTAAACCAAAACCTCCCATACCACAAAAATAAATAAATACAGCAATAAAATAGTCATCAATTAAATGCATCATTAGACCAAATGATGGGACATAGTAAACAACTAAATTATGTTTACTAATCCACGCTATTGTCACCTCAAGGCTTGACTACTGCTTTGCTGGCAGCGTGCCCTAAAACCTCTTTGAAGAGCTTCCAGCTTGTTCAAAATACAGCAGCAAGGATCTTAACAGGCACCAAAAGGAGGGAGCACATAATTCCGGTTATGCCAAAATTCTTCTCTTGGAATATAAAGCCATAAATGGCTTGGCTCCCTCTTATCTTCAAGACATGTTATTATCTTATCAACCAAGCCGAGCACTGCGCTCGCAAAACGCTAGATGTCTGGTGGTCCCTAAGGTTTCAAAAAACACTGTCGACGGCAGAGGATTTAGCTACCAAGCCACCAAGCCAAGCTACCTTTACTGTGGAATCAGCTCCCCACGCACGTTAAGGAAGCAGACACTGTCTCTACATTTAAGGCCAGGCTTAAAACACTCTTTTTCAACCTAGTATTTGGCTAGGTTGTTGTCCGGTCAGGTTTAGTCTGGTCTTGGAGTCTTGGAGCGTATATGGAACCCGGTCCGCTGCATCTTCAACCCTACGTTCTAGGATAGGCTAAAACAGTCCTCTCTAGTTTAGGAGATGGTCAGTATGGTAGCTTGAGCACTATCCTCTCCTCCTTCCTACTTTATTTGTCTGAATTATTAGGATTATGACTGTAGTTTATTCATTGCTATTCACCCGTTGTCCCATTGTCTGTTTCATGGTACGACGACGGGACCTCTGAACCTGGCCTCCTCTATCTACAGTTGAGAGAGACGCGAGGAGTCGCGTCCCTCTCAACTCTCTCTCTCTCCAAGACGCGATGGGGAGAGAGATGGGAGGAACATGAACAAGAATTTAAACAAGTTGCAGAACTCTTGATCAGTGTTTGAATTGGTGTTTTTCGGGGAAGCACTATCATGCAGCTATCTGGTAAATTTCCAGCATAAAACACAGATTGACAAACTCCTCCTCTGCGGCCGGACTAACCTCGTGAGTCCAGTGGCAGTCTTTCAGTCTATATTATGTCTTGATTTGATTGAAAGTCCAGATGATAATAAAATCTTCAGCCAAATCATACATTTTCAAGCAAAAGAAATAGCACCGATAGGACCGATTGTTTGTTAGCAACTCGGGTATGACCTTCATGCTAAGTATCGCCCCCTAGCGGTGAGGCACAGATAGTGCCTTCCTCACGCCAAGCTTTTTCCTTGTGTATTCTTCGCCGATCAAAAGACTTAAACTAAATACAAATAGTACATACATGCGTGCAATACAGTACTAAAGAAATTGTTTTCAAAGCAGGAGATTTGAAACAAACAGCGATACATCAGCTGTGTGCACTCAGTCCACTGTGAGGCATCTGGGGTGAGGCTCGCAGGAATAGGAAAAATAGGATTTCAGCGATTTTGACTTCAGAAATGATCAAAACTGGTCAGAACCGTGCCCAAAATACATTAAAATCATAGGACAGTGGAAAACAATTA